CCTAAGAGGGGAAAATAAGCAAGATACAAGATCTGTTTAGTCGCCATGTAGTTTTACAACATACTAGGAATGTGTTTACTAGTCAACATTGGACAGGGTGCAGGCCGGGACAAGACAGTGTACACAATGGAGGTGTATAGTACAAGATAATATAGGAGCAAATAGCATAAAATATATATATATACACACACACACACTGAGTGTGTGTGTGTGTGTGTGTGTGTGTGTGTGTGTGTGTGTGTGTGTGTGTGTGTGTGTGTGTGTGTGTGTGTGTGTGTGTGTGTGTGTGTGTGTGTGTGTGTGTGTGTGTGTGTGTGTGTGTGTGTGTGTGTGTGTGTGTGTGTGTGTGTGTGTGTGTAGCTGCCGCTCAAAGTGCCCTTCTTTATTGTTTTGTATTTTTGAAGAGTGCTTCATGTATGCTTGAACTTTGTTTAATGTTGTTGAGGCAAGTTTTCTTACCGGAAGTCATGTGACCTCTAGCCCGGATGTTTACAATGTTTGTGAGAGAGTAAAAAGGCGCGAACATTTGTAAATGCTGGTCTAGGCGAATACGTTTTCACGCTGTTTCATAATTGTACCAAGAAGGAAATAAACATGATTGTGAACATCAGTTCGATGCGTAACGTTCTTTCAAGACAAAGTTACAGTGTGTGTACCTTTGCGTTTGGTTGCTGGTAAGGGGGACGACCAAGCGCTGTGATCTAGAAGGCAAAGCTCACTTGTTTCCAATCCCGAGAGTTGTCCATCCTCGCCTGAAACACACGATTAGTGCCATGAGTTAGTGAAGCAAATTACAGAAACACTGGACAGTTATTCACAAGTCAAAACGTTTTCATAGCGGCCGAGAATATCTAGCTAGCTAGATGTTATTAGCTAGCTCGGGGCCGGTGTTAGCCAGTTCAGCCTAGCATGGCTAGCTTGATCTACTGAGCAAATAAAAGTACATCTGAGACCATTATTGTGCAGATTAAAACCCCAGTGCATGTAGTTGATTTTACCTTCGTCGTGGTCGTCATCGTTGGCCACTGAATCCGCCGTTTGAGCGGCCTCCCACACCATCGGTCGATGCTGTCCGGGATAAAAGGTCTGTGGCCTAGCAGAGCATCCAAGCGTTCGTACCATTTACTGGTCTTCCGGTCGTTACCACTCTTGTTATAATAGTCTTTAATTTGTTTGTAGTCCTGCCTGAGTTTCTTTATTTTTAGCCGGTATGCCGTGGCGCTGTGCACGATTCCCAGGTCGAGTGAAAGCTACTGAACTGGCTTCAGTAGCATTCCCTGGGTCGCGTCCTCGGCGTAGATCTCCAGAAGCGCCGACACCTCCTCATCACTCTACCGCTCCGATGATTTCTTGATGCTTGCCATAACTGCTTTCAAAAACAAACTACTCTCCGTCGGTGCGCTGGGTTTTTGTAGCGAGGAAAAACAATGGCGGCTCTACACAACATTTCACAGTTGTACGGGGCGTGGTTTGCAATTCGCCCAGCCAATCAGCACTGGGGCACTTTTTTCCCACAGGAAAGTACGATCTCTCAGCGGGCACTAAAAATGGGGGTAAAAGTTCCCGAGATTAAGTACTCTTTTTGGTGTGAACGCGACATAAGGGGTACTAACGGAACTAAACGCGAAAAGTACGGTGAAAAGTACTCCGGTGTGAACGCGGCTAATGCTAACGGAGGCGAGACGTACGTTATTCATGCGCTTATCCACACGTACGTTATTCACGCGCATATCCACACGTACGTTATCAACACGCATATCTAAAATAGTGCTTTCTAAGCTACGCCGCCGCTACGTAAGCGCGTACTTTGAGCGCACCTATGGTACGTCGCCTGTATTCTACGTCAACCCATTCAAAATTGATGGAGGCGTTGGCGCACGTTGACACGTCAGTTCTCCGTTCAGTTAGCTTAGTTATCTGTTCTTTGGCACAAATCACACCTCATATTTCTGTGTCCCCTCCCAGGGCCAGGCTGTACGCTATTGTCCTCTCCAGGCCGCCGTAGTTCTCTGGGAGGCATTCTCTGGGCTGCAGGCAGTGCAGGACGCAGAAGATGGCAGTGGGGACTGAGTGGAGCGCCGCGATGCCGTTACTTGGAAGTAAAGACAGGAAACGTTGAGTGATAAGAAGTAAGGATAATACCATAGACTGTATATATAAAGGATAATACACAGGAGATGGGCTGCTCTAAAAGCAAACATGTCAAATAAATGTGTTTGGGATCAGGAGGGATTTACCACTTAGTGAAACAATCCATTTGCTCTGTCCTGATAAATCCTTAAAAAAGTCAAAAATTGATATTCTACTATATGTGTTGTCATAACCAATCACAGTAGTGAAAACATTATTATTACATTAAAGGTGGGGTAGGTACGTTTGAGAAACCGGCTCGAGATCGCTAGAATTTGAAAATACACAACCGGAGAAAATCTGCCACTTCCTTATAGAGCCCCTCCTCCAACACACACGAACGCGCACATGACCAATGAGGGCACGAGATAAGTTTGTGCACAGATGGAAGGCTGACAGGCAGGTAGGCCATCCAATCATTTTAGCCGGGCCAGCTAAAATGATTGGTCGTACTTTTTACAGTATTACGGCTTCCACAGATGACATTTTTTTATGGATTTTTTGTCAAAGTACTTAAGATATTCATTGCTATCGGGATGTTAAGAGCATTCCATGGAATATAACAAAAAGTGTATCTCAAGCCGGTTTCTCAAACTTACCTACCCCACCTTTAAGTGATTTTAAGTGACTAAGAACTATTTGAAGAACGTCAGGAAACTATAACAGGTTTTTTCCAATATTTTCAGACAAGTGATTAATTGAGAATTTACCTGGGAGATTGTTTAATGATACAAAAGTGTAATTTGTTGGATAACAAAACAAAATGCTGTGCGTGTACAATAAAAAAAATTGGAAACAGTCAATAGGCGCTTTCACACCGGAGTACTTTTCCCCGTACTTTTCCCGTTTAGTTCCGATAGTTCCTGGGATTTTGCGTTCACACCAAAAAGAGAACTTAGTTCATGAGAACTCTTACCCCCTTTTTAGTGCCTGCTAGAGAGGTGGTACTTTCCTGGGGAGAAAAAAGTTCCAATTTCTGATTGGCTGGGCGAATTGCAAACCACGCCCCGTAAAACTCAGAAAAGTTTTTGTAGCCGCCATTGTACTTGCTGGCATTAGCATTATTAGCATTAGCATTAGCCCCGCGCACCAACGGAGAGAGAATAACTTATGGCAACACAAAAGAAAACATAGGAGCGGTGGAGTGATGAGGAGGTGTTAGGAAAATATCACTCGACACCAGGTTGAGAATCAATAATCAGGTACTAATTTATTCTTGCAAGAAGGAGCAGAGTTCAATCACATACAAAGGATATGGTTTAACTCACACACATGGGGTATGTTGCTCAACGGAGCAGGAAAAAACATCCGGCTTATATAGTCCAAAATACAGGAGATAACAACAAAGTCGTAAATCGAGGTGGCGCTAATATCAGCCGCGGGTGTCGGAAATGCGTCGGGTCATCTGCGATGGGTCATCTGTGACGTCTTCTGGACTTCCTTCACGCCTCATAGTAATGAGATATGTAGGAGACAACAAATATGTGTCTGTCTCCTCATTAGGGATGGGAATTTGAAAGCAAATGTATATTCGAATATTCGACCCCCCCAAAAACAGTTAACCGGTTAACCGAAATGTACATATCCTATAAAACAAAATTGGGTCAAAAAAAGATGTTTCAATAATTTTGGAAATAAATAAATACATGTTCAAATAAGTATAGAAACCAAGTCGAATTTGTCAAATGTATTGAACTGGTGATCACAGTTTGACAGCTATAGGCCTACAGCTTTCACGCGGAGGCGATTCACAATCAGGCCAGCTGTAGAGAAGACCCTCTCAGCTGGAACGGAGGTTGCGGGTATAGCAAGGTATAGTATGTATATATATAAGTTTAATTTGGCATAGTTTGCACTCTACACCGCACTCACTAACCTGGTCGAAATATTTCCACACATTACTCATTTTTGACGCCATGTCTGTTGTGTAGGACTTCTTAGAGTGTAAATAATTACCGGACTATGACTGGTAAAATATGTTGTATACCGGCAAAACTAAATCTCTCCTGTCAAAATGTCTATGTACTTTGCCGCCACACACGGTTGCCAAGCAGTGCTTGTTGTTGTTTAGGCTGGCCACTCATGTGTCGCGAGTGTTGACAGGGGGCGGGGGAGCACGCTCATGAACTGTTAGCGCCGGAACCTCCCAACGGCTGGGAGCGCATTTGCGCCGCATTTGGGCATAAGATGAGGTTTGAGTCTGCGTGATTTTCGTGTAGGCAGGGGCAGCAGGCATATCATTAGCTAGAACTAGCTAGATCTGATGGATTTGGACATAAACGCGAGTGAAGTACCGGACGCGCGAGAGAGAGATCAGCACCTGCAGCTCTGCCCGCTGTGAGGGACCGGTGAGCGGAGCAAAACACACCTTTAGACGTCACCTAACACATTTAGCTATGGCACTGTCGTATACATTGAATTATTAAATTTGATAATATGTAATCAACTTAGGCATCCCTCCCAAAAAAAGAAAAAAAAATATTCATAACTCATATTCGAATACCTGAATAATTATTCGAATACCTGAATAATTTCGAATATTCGATTAATCGTTCCCATCCCTACTCCTCATAAAGATCAACAACCTGAAATGCCCTGCCTCCTCCTATCATAAAGAGGCAGCTGCAAGGTCGTACATAGTTCAGAATCACACATGATATCAGTGCATTAAAACAAACCCAAAGAGGAGACAACAGTATTTTCTCCAACAGGGGGTGTCGGCGTTCTGGCGATTTACTCGGAAGGCTTCAGTAGAACAGTAGGGACACGGCTCTATAATTGTCCAACATTTCGCAGTTCATCTACAGCCAGTTTAGTGCATATCCAGTGTCCACTGTGAATGCGTTTGAGAAGACAGCAGCTCTCTAACGATGGAGGGTAACACACAGAAGCTCAATCTGAAGAGGGAAGTGGGGCTCATAGCAGGTGTATCATTTATTGCTGGAACCATGATAGGTTCTGGGATTTTCATCTCCCCCCAGTATGTGCTGGCTGATATCGGCAGCCCTGGGGCAAGCTTTGTAATCTGGACTTGCTGTGGGTTGATATCCATGTTGGGAGGGCTCTGCTACGCTGAACTGGGAACAGTCATACCAGAGTCTGGAGGAGAATTTATCTACATGCTGCGGACGACAGGGAAAGTAACGGCTTTTATGTTTTCCTTCAGCTTCATCGTGGTCATGAGGCCTGCCTGTGCCACAGGAATTGCTCTGAGCTTTGCTGAATATGTTGTTGCCCCCTTCTACAGTGGCAGCACCCCTCCACAGTTGGTGGTGAAATGCGTGGCTGCAGCAGCTATCTTGGGCCTGACCATAGTCAACTGTGTGAGCGTACGCATGGCCACCGGCATCCAGGTGGTTTCCATGGTATTCAAACTAGTCGCACTGGCCGTGATCATATTGGGAGGCGTTGTGATGCTTTTCCAGGGACACATTGAGAACTTTGAAGAGCCCTTTGAGAACACAAAGGCTGATGTCAGCTCCGTTGGCATTGCTTTCTATCAGGGCTTGTGGTCCTTTGATGGGTGGAACACTTTGAATTTGATAACTGAGGAACTGAAACATCCAGAAGTAAGACTTGATGAAATGCAAATGTTAATTTGACATTATATACATGTGCAATGAACTATGATACAATCTTCACATTGTAGATTTACTTTCAACTTTGTATCTTTTTTGTTTCCTCATTGTTTATTCATTTTGTTGGGCAATCAATACTTATCATACAAAACGATAAATTCACATTGGTCAAGAACACCTATCCCTTACCACATACATCATCTCATATTAATCATACTTGAGTTACATTTTGAATGCAGGACTTTGACTTGTAACAGTGTATTCCAGCACTGTGGTACTGCTGATACAACTTGAACTATGTCACTGAGGAGCTAAAAAGACCTGAGGTGAGACTGTAAAGAATTGGATTGTTGCATGAAGACACTGTGAGGACATGTGTTTGTTTGCTGCAATTGTAGTCTTATCTAACTGTGACAAAGGTGTGTGTCTGTTAGTGTTATTATCATGTGAGTGTGTGCAGTGATTGTAAAATGTGAAAATAGATTATCTAGGTTTTTTTTAAGATTGAATTTGGTAATTTTTATATCAAAACAATGATTGTAGAATATTATAATGCTTGACAAAAGTTGAAGCAATCATTTCTTAGAAGAGATTCAATTATTAACATCTTGCCTAAAAGAAAAAGCTTCAGCTTACAGTGAACCTTGTTGGAATTTGGGCATTAAAAAAGACGTGTCATTGGATGATCGAATCCTATCGTTTGCCTTTTATTGACAATTGTAATCGGGAGGAAACCTAACATTTGATGAGTGTACATAGTTTTACTGAAAAACTTCATAACCTTATCACTTTGTTAATGGGACAGGATTGGTGCCAACATTTTTAAACGTGCTTTGTCAAAGCAGAAAAATACTTCAGTTAAGGATTTTAGGTCAATCGATTATTCAAGTGTCAAATTTACAACTAAACATCATGCTATCTCAAACATAAAAATGATGTTGCCTTTTTTCTTCCAGGTGAATCTCCCCAGGGCGGTTGTGATAGCCATTTCTCTAGTGACTGGCTTATACCTGCTGGTGAATGTGAGCTACCTGACGGTTATGACTCCAAAAGAGCTCATGTCCTCAAGCGCTGTAGCAGTAACCTGGGGGTAAGACAGCATCTGATATTGTTTTAATAGATTCAGGTAGACAGATCCAGCCTGCTAACTTGACATGCTATTTTGACTGTTAAAATTGCTCATTTCAAAGGAGCGTGGAAAGAGTGCACTCCTGTGACATCACACAGTGATTTTTCAAAGAATACATATGATGCTAATTCGGAGTTTCATATTTGTATATTTGGTTTCTTCTATAACTTGGGTACATGTTTAATGTTCAAAAAACACATACTTTTTGTCATAGTGTCTGTCTGAATATACATCTATGTACCCTATGTCTGAAACTTTGGAGTATTTATATAGCATTTCAACGTTGCGCATACATTACCCAAAATGCAATATGAGCACAAAAAGTTGGTTCTGATGGTGTGGTGCAGAAGTGAGTCCTAAAAAACGGATTTCAGTTAGCATTTTACCACGTCCGATTACCTTGTCTCAAAGTCGACGGTTTTTATTTTTGTACGTGTTTGTGGCTAAAGCTAAAAATAAGGTCTGTGTTTAACACAAGTTTTGTTCTAAAACATAAAATACGTCGCAGAGATTACCTTGCCAAACAAAACGTTTTCAGTTAATCTTCAGTCCAAACATTTTCAGGACAAATCTGAATAAAATTCCCATGTTTACACTTTCTATGAACTGCAGCATGTGGCTTTAGAACATTGGAAAGGTTCCTGTTGCAACTTTTGTGAGAACTTGTGCCTTTTTCCACAGGAACAAAGTGTTAGGAAGCTGGGGCTGGACCATGTCTGTGGCCGCAGCGTTGTCTGCTTTCGGCTCACTGAACGGAACGTTCTTCAGTGGGGGCCGTGTGTGCTTTGTTGCTGCTAGGGAAGGTCACCTGGTTAGCATCTCCACTTTATGATTAAAATAATAGTTAGATTGTTCAGGAGCATAAGCGTGACGATCTTCATGCACTGACTTGTGTTTACTCTCTAGCCAGATATCCTAGCCATGGCTCATGTCCGCAGACTGACTCCATCTCCAGCGCTGATCTTTACCACTGTGGTCTCTCTTCTGGTGCTGATCCCCGGAGACTTCCAGAGCATTGTCAACTTCTTCAGGTGAAAGCTGGGTCTGATTTGCATGTGTTTTAGGTTTGTTTTGAGGTGATTGGTTTTCAGTTTAACAAATACATATTTAATAGTAGATTAAAAACCCTAATCCTCACAAAAAAAAAAAAAACTAAAGAGGGTTTCAAGTATCTTAAGTATTCGATATGAAACAATTAATAGATGTATCCAGTGTATCCTAAAAATAAAAACCATGACTGTATGGTCAGCACATGACATACGAGGACGTTTAAAGATTAGATTCCCATAGTCCAGGAATGGACGCTTCGTTTTTTCTAGTTTCATTCATGAATGATCCCTTAACCATCAAATTCATTTTGGAGGTTGTGGGTATTGCCAGTTATGGATAACTAGCCTGCATGATAATAACAGTACAAAGGCTGTGTGAAGGATTCCCCTATCCTGACAAAAGCCCCAAAAGGCCCAAAAACATGACATAGAGTTATAGAAAATAGATGTCTGGTATTTTATCATTTTCTGCCTTTGTATGTATTTAATGTTGACATTTCTTCCTTATTACATGTTAGTTTCACTGCCTGGTTTTTCTATGGCATCACCCTCTCTGGACTTGTCTATCTCAAGATTAAGAAGCCGGAGCTCCCCAGGCCATACAAGGTCCGTATCACACACATTCAATCTTAAAGAGGCCCTATTATGCTTTTGGGGGTTTGCCAGTATAGGTTTTAGTGCATGTAATGTCGCGTTTCCACTACACGGCCTCGCTCGGCCCCGCTCGGTATGGCTGGGCCTCGTTAGGACTGGCTCACTTTATGGCGCATTTCCATTACAGTTTAGGAACTGGGGCAGTATCTATAGTAACGCAGTGTAGGCGGAGCCGTGACGTGATCTTCAGAGGACCCCAGAAAAACAACACAGCCGTTAGCTGTTAGCACTCAGAGCTCACAGCTCCTCATATATGTTCAGAAACTAGACAAAAGTTAAACAAGTACAAACCACAGACTGCCTGTGTCATGGTGAATACAGTCGCTGCTTTATTTATGTCTGTATAGGCCGTTGTTGTGAGTGTGGACGGTCGGGGCATATACTGCGTTAGCTTAGCCAATCTCCATTTAGAAAACAAGCATTTTAAAAGGTTTTTCCCCTGCCGTCTGTCTGCAGACTTGTCAAAGCATTAATTCATGGTTTTTACTAACCGGTATCAGTATGTTGTTACTTCGGCATCATTTTGAAACGTGTATTACAATTAAATCACGGTCAAATATGTCCATCTTGTTGTAGTTGTTGCCCCCTTGCCAGCGACGCTCTCTCTAGTTTAGCATACTCAGCCCGACTCAGCCTCGTTGCCTCTGGCCCTGGCCCCACGATTTTATGAGGCCAGAAAAACTGTGAATTAGGACCCGCCGGCCGGTACTAGGCCAAGTGGAAACGCAACCAAAGACGGGCCGCTGACGTCACAGCCCTCTTAAACCGGGCTGCGGGCTGTAGTGGAAACGCGCCATAAATGGTCTGCAAAGGCTTAATCCCCCCCCCCCCCCCCCCTAGTGACATCACTATTTAACACTCCCGCTTCAATTGGCTAGCTCTCTAACACATTGTACATGATAAGTGTAAGGGGTGGGACGTTTCCGACACATCTCTGCGGTTGACCAATAACAACAGAGCTGGCCAGCTAACCAATCAGAGCAGACTGGGCTCTGGTTTCAGACAGAGGGTGAAAAGAGGTGCTGCAGCACAGGCAGTATCAGAAAAATAAAGAGCTTTCTGAACATTAAAGCATGTCAACATGTCAGAGTAGAGACACAAAATACAAATATATGAACCTGAACATTTGCATAATAGGGCCCCTTTAAACACCATCAACATTAACATTTGTCTTAACACGTATGAGAATCTGTCTCTCTTTTTCCACAGGTTCCCATTATACTCCCAGTCCTGGTCATCATTGTGGCAATATTCCTTGTTCTTGCACCCATCCTAGACAACCCTCAGATAGAATACCTCTATGTGTCTTTATTTATCCTCAGTGGAGCTATAGTGTACGTTCCCTTCATCCATTTCAAGCTCTGCCCAGGGTTGCTGACCAAGCTAACAGTGTTCCTGCAGCTCTTCTTAGAGGTGGCCCCCGACAGAGAAAAACCTGTGATATTGGTGGAAGAATCCAGAAGAAAAGGCTGTTGTTCCAGTTTTGTTGCTTGTGCTTTTCAACTACACCTGTTTTTTGCAATGACACTCATGAGATGTTGCGGTTTACATTTGGTAGCAACTTACTATTACCTCTTGTTTGTCATTGATGAGTTGTTTGTCTTTGACTTTTAACACTCTGATATGTGTTGTCTTTTTGCACAGGTGCATTTAGCTGATGCGAGCACAAAGAAAAACTAGTACATCTGTATTCAAAATGTCAATCTATTAGAAGAAGGGTAAAATATGACATGTTGCTGGACAGCCTGTGTACCTAAACACCTGAGAATTCCTGTGCTTTTTGTTGCAAGATTTCTTTAAAAACATTTTGATCTGGAAACTTTTGCAAATTAACATTTATAACAAGCTCAAATGAAAATAAACACAGGAATTCCCAGGTTATATATAGGCCATATATATATATATTTAGAAGAAAACGCAGCAAATCTACACTTAAGAAGCTGAAACTGTGAAAATTAGCAAATAAAGTTTTGTTTTCACTCATTGTTTTAGTTAAGTGTAGGTTAATCCACATCAACACATCATTTTTTTAAGTTTTTTAATGTGGTTATGTGTTGTGTATATGAAAATCTGAATCTATAAAGTGTCTGTCAAATAAAGCTTCTTAGTAAAAGTGCAATATTTCCCTTTGAATTGTAACGGAGTAGAAGTATAAAGAAGCATAGAAAGAAAATACTCAAGTTTAAGTACCTGAAATGTGTACTTAAGTAGTACTTGACTGTCCCGAGTGACTTTCCACCACTGTAATTATGTTAGCACAAACCAAAGAATAAGCTATATATTAACCTGCTGAACATTTAGCTTACTAAGAGTCTCCATCTCCATTGAGCTGACCTTCCTTAATCTAATTTGATGTTTTGAATCTTAAATACAAAATGAGCACTGATACAGATGTGAATTTACAAAAAAATGTTTATTAAATAATTGTTATCCATCAAACGGATAAAAACAAGACATGGCCAATCAATAGTGCAACTTTCACAAGACAGAAGATTGTTTAACACAAAACAGGAAAGAGCAGAGTGTGTGTGTGTATACGGGCATGCATACACACACCAAATGTATCTATGACAACACATATCATATAAAGTGAATCTAGTCTGTCTGGTTACGTATCTTGTTTGTTTTACTTTAACATTCTGTAGTGGCTGTGGCTCATGGCGTAGGGGGGTCGATCCCCCACTACTGAAGCCTACGAGTCAAGATGTTTCTTTATGTGTAAGTGTTAAGCTTGGCAGCTGTTTGAGATTGAGTTTAAAATTGAAGGAATATTTGAGCTCATCAATTATAAAAGCGCTTTTTAGTTTAGAATTTAAGTCATCGTAGTTAGCCTTCATAGTTTTAGTCGATATGAAGTTATAACATTTAGTCAACTTTTATTCTATTTCCATCAAATCTAGGCCAGCCGAAACCAATAATTCTGTCATTTGTGACAAACTTTGTTCACAGAAGATAGCATCTTATAATTATTTGATAATAAAAACGCAGCTCGACCCCCATTCATACTGACTGTGTTTATTGGTGATGCGCACCCACCCAGCCCGTAATGAGAGCCAATCTGCTACGCCTGACATGGAAAAAAAAAAATCATAATATAAAATAATAACCCGAACCCAATTCAACTTGTACATTGACTTTATGCCTTAGTAGCACTGACAACTGTCTGACGGAGAATAATTGAGCGGTAGGGCATGTGGTATGTGTGTTTTTCAGAGAGACAGAGATGGGAACAGAAGTAGAAGTTATAATAAAATGATTTTAGTGAAGTTTATATTTTTTAACTACATTTTTGTTTTCATGAATATTGCATGTTGATGTTGATGTCACAGTTGGTCTTCAATGGCATCAATGCCGCCTCATCATTGTCTCCCTTCAGTCATGGAAAAAAAACATATTTTGTCATAGTTTTGAAATCATCACGTGTGTGTGTGTGTGTGTGTGTGTGTGTGTGTGTGTGTGTGTGTGTGTGTGTGTGTGTGTGTGTGTGTGTGTGCGTGCGTGCGTGCGTGCGTGCGTGCGTGCGTGCGTGCGTGTGTGTGTGCGTGTGTGTGTGTGTGTGTGTGTCACTCAGTAATGGCGCGTTTCCACTACAGCGCGGAGCACGGTTTAAGAGGGCTGTGACGTCAGCGGCCCGTTTTTGGTTGCGTTTCCACTTGGCCTAGTACCGGCCGGCGGGTCCTAATTCACAGTTTTTCTGGCCTCATAAAATCGTGGGTCTAGGGCCAGAGACAACGAGGCTGAGTCGGGCTGAGTATGCTAAACTAGAGAGGGAATCGCTGGCAAGGGGGCTACAACTACAACAAGATGGACATATTTGACCGTGATTTAATTGTAATACACGTTTCAAAATGATGCCGAAGTAACAACATACTGATACCGGTTAGTAAAAACCATGAATTAATGCTTTGACAAGTCTGCAGACAGACGGCAGGCGAAAAACCTTTTAAAATGCGTGTTTTCTAAATGGAGATTGGCTAAGCTAACGCAGTATATGCTCCGACCGTCCACACTCACAACAACGGCCTATACAGACATAAATAAAGCAGCGACTGTATTCGCCATGACACAGGCAGTCTGTGGTTTGTACTTGTTTAACTTTTGTCTAGTTTCTGAACATATATGAGGAGCTGTGAGCTCTGAGTGCTAACAGCTAACGGCTGTGTTGTTTTTCTGGGGTTCTCATTGAAGATGACGTCACGGCTCCGCCTACACTGCGTTACTATAGATACTACCCCAGTTCCTAAACTGTAATGGAAATGCGCCATAAAGTGAGCCAGTCCTAACGAGGCCTAGCCATACCGAGCGAGGCCGTGTAGTGGAAATGCGCCATAAGAATCACTCCGCTCTGGCTTTCTTCTCTGTGCCGTTAGAAGCGTTTGATTGGCTTTCAGCTCCACAGCTCGGCTCCCCTGTCCCGCCCCCCTGTGATGTTTGCTGGTACAGCATGTGAAGCCGCTCTGCATTCATGTCTGCCCCCTCGCAGCACTTTATCCACGACTGAGGGATAGCCTCTATGCCGTAGTGGGCCCCAGCGATGGCCCCTGCCATGCAGGCTATGGTGTCTGTGTCTCCTCCCAGGGCCAGGCTGTACGCTATTGTCCTCTCCAGGCCTAGTTCTCTGGGAGGCATTCTCTGGGCTGCAGGCAGTGCAGGACGCAGAAGATGGCAGTGGGGACTGAGTGGAGCGCTGCGATGCCGTTACCTGGAAGAAATGACAGGAAACGTTGAGTGATAAGAAGTAAGGATAATACTATTAGAAGTATTCGATGTTCTCGCGCCCAGGAGAGGAGCTTAGAATGAAGAGACTAATGGAGTCTCCGAAAAGGTTCAAATTGGTTGAGTTTAATTAAATGGCACGATGATACAACAAGCAGAGGTTAAAGAAAAGACAAAGCCGGTGATGTCTCTCGAGAGGCTGCAGCGAAGACAAGTCTCGTCTTGTCCTCCCCGATCTCCTTTATCTCTTCTCGTTCTCTCCTGCTGTGCAGATAGGGGGACCGCCCTCCTCGGTCTTCAATCGACATCGCGTGAAACAGAGGATTTCGACATTTTGTATTCCTTGCTTACTTCCTTAAGTCTTTTCTCCTCTTTATCTCTTTCTTGACTTTTTATTTACGGTAATACTTTATAAACAGCTGTAATAGTTTAGAAATCCTAGAAACACTTTTACGGCACAGTTCTCATTTACGGTAATTCCCTCTGACGTCATAGCTACTCACGTATGTGAAAACACTTTACGATCAACTGTACCTTCATTTAATATTCAGCAGTAATAATATCTCGACGTCTATAGATGTAGTGTTAAAGTCCGTAGGTTTTGGTGTGCAACACTCCATGTCATTTTCACTTTACATTCAGAAAACATTGTTAGCGACATGCTACATACTGACCGGATATGAAGGATTTTCAGAATAAAAGCTTGGCATTGAGATTTTATGAGAACTTTATGACCGGATATGAGGTTTTTTTCACAATAAAATAGCTTTTAAACTGACGATATATTTTAGACTAAATTATGCTATTGTAGTGCCGAGAGAAGGGAGACGGAGGCGGTGTATCAGAGTTGCAAATCTCTCTTTATTGGAGAGCAGAAATCGACGTGCTGTCGGGTTGCAGGAAAGAGGAGAAGAGAAAGTGAAAGAGGAGGACACACAGTAGGTACCCCGGAGGTACCGTCAACATATGTGTCCGGGCGGAAACAATACCCCCAACCTGTAGTTCCATGATTGGATTATGTAACCCCAGTGTATGCATCAGTGATCACTACACTATTAAACATTGATTTTAATTTCTAACAATACACAGGAGATGGGCTGCTCTAAAAGCAAACATGTCAAATAAATGTGTTTGGGATCAGGAGGGATTCACCACTTAGTGAAACAATCCACCGGCTCGAGATCGCGAGAATTTGAAAATACACAACCGGAGAAAATCTGCCACTTCCTTACAGAATCACACATGATATCAGTGCATTAAAACAAACCCAAAGAGGAGACAACAGTATTTTCTCCAACAGGGGGTGCGGCGTTCTGGCGATTTACTCGGAAGGCTTCAGTAGAACAGTAGGGACACGGCTCTATAATTGCCCAACATTTCGCAGTTCATCTACAGCCAGTTTAGTGCATGTCTAGTGTGAATGCGTTTGAGAAGACAGCAGCTCTCTAACGATGGAGGGTAACACACAGAAGGTCAATCTGAAGAGGGAAGTGGGGCTCATAGCAGGTGTATCATTTATTGCTGGAACCATGATAGGTTCTGGGATTTTCATCTCCCCCCAGTACGTGCTGGCTGCTATCGGCAGCCCTGGGGCAAGCTTTGTAATCTGGACTTGCTGTGGGTTGATATCCATGTTGGGAGGGCTCTGCTACGCTGAACTGGGAACAGTCATACCAGAGTCTGGAGGACAGTTTATCTACATGCTGCGGACGACAGGGAAAATGGTGGCCTTTATGTTTTATTTCAGCTTCATCGTGGCCATGAGACCTACCATTGCAACATAAATTGCTCTGAGTTTTGCTGAATATGCTGTTGCCCCCTTCTACAGCGGCTACACCCCCTCCAATAGTGGTGGTAAAAGTAAAAGTTTTACAACTTCAGTCGAGTTAATAAAAAATCTAAGGAATACTTTGAGCCCTTTTTATTATCTTTGGATTACATTCTTCAGGTGTCTCTGTTACATCTGCAGTGTTTTCCCAATCATCGCTCCGATATGACCATGACGGACAAAGAACCTAAAGCCCTGAAAATGAGGCGGGAAATTGGGCTGATTGGTGGTGTAGCACTAGTATCAGGAACCATGATCGGATCCGGGATATTCATGTCCCCTCAGTTTATAATGGGCTACGTTGGAAGCCCTGGAGCAAGTCTGGTGATCTGGGCTCTCTCTGGAGTTGTAGCTATGTTTGCAGCACTGTCCTATGCAGAGCTTGGGACAATCATCCAGGAATCTGGTGGAGAATTCATCTACATACTGAGGATCTATGGTTCATGCCCTGCTTTTTTTGCAGCAATCACTTTTGTTGTGGTTGTGAAGCCGTTTGGCATTGCAGCAATGGCGATTAGCATTGCAGAATATGCTCTAGCACCCTTTTACAACAGCTGCCAACCTCCTGATCTGGTAGTGAAGTGTGTTGCAGCTGTGGCTATACTGGTCGTTGCCATAGTAAACATCTTGAATTCCCGGATTGCCGTCAGAATCCAAGTGGTGTTCTTGGTGGCCAAAGTGCTGGTGTTGACATTTATTGTTATCGGAGGAATAGTGAAGCTCATACAGAGCAGCAGTGTCATTGTGGAAAATTTGAAAGTTGAGAATGCATTTAAAGGCACTCAGTACTCTTTGAGCACTCTGGGAATGGGTGTTTATCAAGGACTCTGGTCTTACGCTGGGTGGTACAACTTGAACTATGTCACTGAGGAGCTAAAAAGACCTGAGGTGAGACTGTAAAGAATTGGATTGTTGCATGAAGACACTGTCAGGACATGTGTTTGTTTGCTGCAATTGTAGTCTTATCTAACTGTGACAAAGGTGTGTGTCTGTTAGTGTTATTATCATGTGAGTGTGTGCAGTGATTGTAAAATGTGAAAATAGATTATCTAGGTTTTTTTTAAGATTGAATTTGGTAATTTTTATATCAAAACAATGATTGTAGAATATTATAATGCTTGACAAAAGTTGAAGCAATCATTTCTTAGAAGAGATTCAATTATTAACATCTTGCCTAAAAGAAAAAGCTTCAGCTTACAGTGAACCTTGTTGGAATTTGGGCATTAAAAAAGACGTGTCATTGGATGATCGAATCCTATCATTTTCCTTTTATTGACAATTGTAATCGGGAGGAAACCTAACATTTGATGACTGTCATAGTTTTACTGAAAAACTTCATAACCTTATCACTTTGTTAATGGGACAGGATTGGTGCCAACATTTTTAAACGTGCTTTGTCAAAGCAGAAAAATACTTCAGTTAAGGATTTTAGGTCAATCGATTATTCAAGTGTCAAAATTACAACTAAACATCATGCTATCTTAAACATAAAAATTATGTTGCCTTTTTTCTTCCAGGTGAATCTCCCCAGGGCGGTTGTGATAGCCATTTCTCTGGTGACTGGCTTATACCTGCTGGTGAATGTGAGCTACCTGACGGTTATGACTCCAAAAGAGCTCATGTCCTCAAGCGCTGTAGCAGTAACCTGGGGGTAAGACAGCATCTGATATTGTTTTAATAGATTCAGGTAGACAGATCCAGCCTGTTAACTTGACATGCTATTTTGACTGTTTAAAATTGCTCATTTCAAAGGAGCATGGAAAGAGTGCACTCCTGTGACATCACACAGTGATTTTTCAAAGAATACATATGATGCTAATTCGGAGTTTCATATTTGTATATTTGGTTTCTTCTATAACTTGGGTACATGTTTAATGTTCAAAAAACACATACTTTTTGTCATAGTGTCTGTCTGAATACATCTATGTACCCTATGTCTGAAACTTTAGAGTATTTATATAGCATTTCAACGTTGCGCATACATTACCCAAAATGCAATATGAGCACAAAAAGTTGGTTCTGATGGTGTGGTGCAGAAGTGAGTCCTAAAACCCGGATTTCAGTTAGCATTTTACCACGTCCGATTTCCTTGTCTCAAAGTCGACGGTTTTTATTTTTGTACGTGTTTGTGGCTAAAGCTAAAAATAAGGTCTGTGTTTAACACAAGTTTTGTTCTAAAACATAAAATACGTCGTAGAGATTACCTTGCCAAACAAAACGTTTTCAGTTAATCTTCAATCCAAACATTTTCAGGACAAGTCTGAATAAAATTCCCATGTTTACACTTTCTATGTACTGCAGCATGTGGCTTTAGAACATTGGAAAGGTTCCTGTTGCAACTTTTGTGAGAACTTGTGACTTTTTCCACAGGAACAAAGTGTTAGGAAGCTGGGGCTGGACCATGTCTGTGGCCGCAGCGTTGTCTGCTTTCGGCTCACTGAACGGAACGTTCTTCAGTGGGGGCCGTGTGTGCTTTGTTGCTGCCAGGGAAGGTCACCTGGTTAGCATCTCCACTTTATGATTAAAATAATAGTTAGATTGTTCAGGAGCATAAGCGTGACGATCTTCATGCACTGACCTGTGTTTACTCTCTAGCCAGATATCCTAGCCATGGCTCACGTCCGCAGACTGACTCCATCTCCAGCGCTGATCTTTACCACCGTGGTCTCTCTTCTGGTGCTGATCCCCGGAGACTTCCAGAGCATTGTCAACTTCTTCAGGTGAAAGCTGGGTCTGATTTGCATGTGTTTTAGGTTTGTTTTGAGTTGATTGGATTTCAGTTTAACAAATACATATTTAATAGTAGATTAAAAACCCTAATCCTCACAAAAAAAACACAAACTAAAGAGGGTTTCAAGTATCTTAAGTATTCAATATGAAATAATTAATAGATGTATCCAGTGTATCCTAAAAATAAAAACCATGACTGTATGGTCAGCACATGACATACGAGGACGTTTAAAGATTAGATTCCCATAGTCCAGGAATGGACGCTTCGTTTTTTTCTAGTTTCATTCATGAATGATCCCTTAACCATCAAATACATTTTGGAGGTTGTGGGTATTGCCAGTTATGGATAACTAGCCTGCATGATAATAACAGTACAAAGGCTGTGTGAAGGATTCCCCTATCCTGACAAAAGCCCCAAAAGGCCCAAAAACATGACATAGAGTTATAGAAAATAGATGTCTGGTATTTTATCATTTTCTGCCTTTGCATGTATTTAATGTTGACATTTCTTCCTTATTACATGTTAGTTTCACTGCCTGGTTTTTCTATGGCATCACCCTCTCTGGACTTGTCTATCTCAAGATTAAGAAGCCGGAGCTCCCCAGGCCATACAAGGTCTGTATCACACACATTCAATCTTAAAGAGGCCCTATTATGCTTTTGGGGGTTTGCCAGTATAGGTTTTAGTTCATGTAAATGGTCTGCAAAGGCTTAGGCGCCGTTTACACGAGGAGAAAACTGCATTGTATCTGCATAGTTTCGCGTGCGTATAGCCCTATTATTTACACGAGGCCGATAGAAACTGACCCCACAAACGATAACGGGTCCCAAGGTGGATAGATTTGCAAACGAAACGCTCTGGGGGGTCAACCGAGTCCGTGTAATCACCTCTATACGAATATTTCCTGAAAAAATAACGATAGCCCCACCTTTCCCCACCTCTCCTGCTCACTGCTGTAGCATGGCTGTGTTAATTAAACGCACAAGGGGTTCTTGAATGAAATAATATTATAAAAGGCAAACCAGAATTGTTAACGCCCAATATACTCCTTAAACAAAATAAACAGAGTCAGATTTCATGCATTGATCCATTATATTGACAAAGGAGGATCTCACCCGGTGTTTGTAGAGAATATCTCTCTGAGCGAGTCCTCTCCACGGAGACATGCTCCTCCTCCTGTCAGTAGCTACTGCTAGTGCTACTGCTACTGACCATGCTACAGATATTAGTGCAAAAATATACAGCTCCTCTACCACAACCATCAGCAACAAGTGGACATGGAGAATTACATGAACTACATGTTGCTAAATCCACGGCGGGGCGTAAACAGAAGGGTAGCCATGGCAACATTGCTGCGGGGCTGCTGCGGAGTCTTCTTCACTGCTTTTGGTGTATTTTGTGGCGGAAGTTACAACGCCACTTACAGTCCCGGCATATGTACTACAGCGTTTCCAGCGGTCTCGTTTGAACAGACACGTTAAATGAAACAAATGCATGTGAACGGAACACTTTTTTGAATACGCATACTGTGCATAAACGCAAACGGTCCCGTGTGAGCGGGGCCTTAATCCCAAAGATCCCTCCAGAGGGAATTCTCCCCCCCCCCCCACCCCCCCATAGTGACATCACTATTTAAGGTGCTTGCCCCACTTGTAACACATTGTACATGATAAGTGTAAGGGGTGGGACGTTTCCGACACATCTCTAAGCGGTTGACCAATAACAACAGAGCTGGCCAGCTAACCAATCAAAGCAGACTGGGCTCTGGTTTCAGACAGAGGGTTAAAAGAGGTGCTGCAGCACAGGCAGTATCATAAAAATAAAGAGCTGTCAACATGTCAGAGTAGAGACACAAAATACAAATATATGAACCTGAACATTTGCATAATAGGGCCCCTTTAAACACCATCAACATTAACATTTGTCTTAACACGTATGAGAATCTGTCTCTCTTTTTCCACAGGTTCCCATTATACTCCCAGTCCTGGTCATCATTGTGGCAATATTCCTTGTTCTTGCACCCATCCTAGACAACCCTCAGATAGAATACCTCTATGTGTCTTTATTTATCCTCAGTGGAGCTATAGTGTACGTTCCCTTCATCCATTTCAAGCTCTGCCCAGGGTTGCTGACCAAGCTAACAGTGTTCCTGCAGCTCTTCTTAGAGGTGGCCCCGACAGAGAAAAACCTGTGATATTGGTGGAAGAATCCAGAAGAAAGGCTGTTTGTTCCAGTTTTGTTGCTTGTGCTTTTCAACTACACCTGTTTTTTGCAATGACACTCATGAGATGTTGCGGTTTACATTTGGTAGCAACTTACTATTACCTCTTGTTTGTCATTGATGAGTTGTTTGTCTTGACTTTTAACACTCTGATATGTGTTGTCTTTTTGCACAGGTGCATTTAGCTGATGCGAGCACAAAGAAAAACTAGTACATCTGTATTCAAAATGTCAATCTATTAGAAGAAGGGTAAAATATGACATGTTGCTGGACAGCCTGTGTACCTAAACACCTGAGAATTCCTGTGCTTTTTGTTGCAAGATTTCTTTAAAAACATTTTGATCTGGAAACTTTTGCAAATTAACATTTATAACAAGCTCAAATGAAAATAAACACAGGAATTCCCAGGTTATATATAGGCCATATATATATATATTTAGAAGTAAACGCAGCAAATCTACACTTAAGAAGCTGAAACTGTGAAAATTAGCAAATAAAGTTTTGTTTTCACTCATTGTTTTAGTTAAGTGTAGGTTAATCCACATCAACACATCATTTTTTAAAGTTTTTTAATGTGGTTATGTGTTGTGTATATGAAAATCTGAATCTATAAAGTGTCTGTCAAATAAAGCTTCTTAGTAAAAGTGCAATATTTCCCTTTGAATTGTAGCGGAGTAGAAGTATAAAGAAGCATAGAAAGAAAATACTCAAGTTTAAGTACCTGAAATGTGTACTTAAGTAGTACTTGACTGTCCCGAGTGACTTTCCACCACTGTAATTATGTTAGCACAAACCAAAGAATAAGCTATATATTAACCTGCTGAACATTTAGCTTACTAAGAGTCCATCTCCATTGAGCTGACCTTCCTTAATCTAATTTGATGTTTTGAATCTTAAATACAAAATGAGCACTGATACAGATGTGAATTTACAAAAAAAATGTTTATTAAATAATTGTTATCCATCAAACGGATAAAAACAAGACATGGCCAATCAATAGTGCAACTTTCACAAGACAGAAGATTGTTTAACACAAAACAGGAAAGAGCAGAGTGTGTGTGTATACGGGCATGCATACACACACCAAATGTATCTATGACAACACATATCATATAAAGTGAATCTAGTCTGTCTGGTTACGTATCTTGTTTGTTTTACTTTAACATTCTGTAGTGGCTGTGGCTCATGGCGTAGGGGGGTCGATCCCCCACTACTGAAGCCTACGAGTCAAGATGTTTCTTTATGTGTAAGTGTTAAGCTTGGCAGCTGTTTGAGATTGAGTTTAAAATTGAAGGAATATTTGAGCTCATCAATTATAAAAAGCGCTTTTTAGTTTAGAATTGAAGTCATCGTAGTTAGCCTTCATAGTTTTAGTCGATATGAAGTCATAACATTTAGTCCATTTTTATTCTATTTCCATCAAATCTAGGCCAGCCGAAACCAATAATTCTGTCATTTGTGACAAACTTTGTTCACAGAAGATAGCATCTTATAATTATTTGATAATAAAAACGCAGCTCGACCCCCATTCATACTGACGGTGTTTATTGGTGATGCGCACCCACCCAGCCCGTAATGAGAGCCAATCTGCTACGCCTGACATGGAAAAATATCAAATCATAATATATAAAATAATAACCCGAACCCAATTCAACTTGTACATTGACTTTATGCCTTAGTAGCACTGACAACTGTCTGACGGAGAAGAATTGAGCGGTAGGGCATGTGGTATGTGTGTTTTTCAGAGAGACAGAGATGGGAACAGAAGTAGAAGTTATAATAAAATGATTTTAGTGAAGTTTATATTTTTTAACTACATTTTTGTTTTCATGAATATTGCATGTTGATATTGTCACAGTTGGTCTTCAATGGCGTCAATGCCGTCTCATCATTGTCTCCCTTCAGTCATGGGAAAAAATCATATTTTGTCATAGTTTTGAAATCATCACGTGTGTGTGTGTGTGTGTGTGTGTGTGTGTGTGTGTGTGTGTGTGTGTGTGTGTGTGTGTGTGTGTGTGTGTGTGTGTGTGTGTGTGTGTGTGTGTGTGTGTGTGTGTGTGTGTGTGTGTGTGTGTGTGTGTGTGTGTGTGTGTGTGTGTGTGTCACTCAGTAATGGCGCGTTTCCACTACAGCGCGGAGCACGGTTTAAGAGGGCTGTGACGTCAGCGGCCCGTTTTTGGTTGCGTTTCCACTTGGCCTAGTACCGGCCGGCGGGTCCTAATTCACAGTTTTTCTGGCCTCATAAAATCGTGGGTCTAGGGCCAGAGACAACGAGGCTGAGTCGGGCTGAGTATGCTAAACTAGAGAGAGAATCGCTGGCAAGGGGGCTACAACTACAACAAGATGGACATATTTGACCGTGATTTAATTGTAATACACGTTTCAAAATGATGCCGAAGTAACAACATACTGATACCGGTTAGTAAAAACCATGAATTAATGCTTTGACAAGTCTGCAGACAGACGGCAGGCGAAAAACCTTTTAAAATGCGTGTTTTCTAAATGGAGATTGGCTAAGCTAACGCAGTATATGCTCCGACCGTCCACACTCACAACAACGGCCTATACAGACATAAATAAAGCAGCGACTGTATTCGCCATGACACAGGCAGTCTGTGGTTTGTACTTGTTTAACTTTTGTCTAGTTTCTGAACATATATGAGGAGCTGTGAGCTCTGAGTGCTAACAGCTAACGGCTGTGTTGTTTTTCTGGGGTTCTCATTGAAGATGACGTCACGGCTCCGCCTACACTGCGTTACTATAGATACTACCCCAGTTCCTAAACTGTAATGGAAATGCGCCATAAAGTGAGCCAGTCCTAACGAGGCCTAGCCATACCGAGCGACGCCGAGCGAGGCCGTGTAGTGGAAATGCGCCATAAGAATCACTCCGCTCTGGCTTTCTTCTCTGTGCCGTTAGAAGCTTTTGATTGGCTTTCAGCTCCACAGCTCGGCTCCCCTGTCCCGCCCCCCTGTGATGTTTGCTGGTACAGCATGTGAAGCCGCTCTGCATTCATGTCTGCATCCTCCGCCCCCTCGCAGCACTTTATCCACGACTGAGGGATAGCCTCGATGCCGTAGTGGGCCCCAGCGATGGCCCCTGCCATGCAGGCTATGGTGTCTGTGTCTCCTCCCAGGGCCAGGCTGTACGCTATTGTCCTCTCCAGGCCTAGTTCTCTGGGAGGCATTCTCTGGGCTGCAGGCAGTGCAGGACGCAGAAGATGGCAGTGGGGACTGAGTGGAGCGCTGCGATGCCGTTACCTGGAAGAAATGACAGGAAACGTTGAGTGATAAGAAGTAAGGATAATACTATTAGAAGTATTCGATGTTCTCGCGCCCAGGAGAGGAGCTTAGAATGAAGAGACTAATGGAGTCTCCGAAAAGGTTCAAATTGGTTGAGTTTAATTAAATGGCACGATGATACAACAAGCAGAGGTTAAAGAAAATACAAAGCCGGTGATGTCTCTCGAGAGGCTGCAGCAAAGACAAGTCTCGTCTTGTCCTCCCCGATCTCCTTTATCTCTTCTCGTTCTCTCCTGCTGTGCAGATAGGGGGACCGCCCTCCTCGGTCTTCAATCGACATCGCGTGAAACAGAGGATTTCGACATTTTGTATTCCTTGCTTACTTCCTTAAGTCTTTTCTCCTCTTTATCTCTTTCTTGACTTTTTATTTACGGTAATACTTTATAAACAGCTGTAATAGTTTAGAAATCCTAGAAACACTTTTACGGCACAGTTCTCATTTACGGTAATTCCCTCTGACGTCATAGCTACTCACGTATGTGAAAACACTTTACGATCAACTGTACCTTCATTTAATATTCAGCAGTAATAATATCTCGACGTCTGTAGATGTAGTGTTAAAGTCCGTAGGTTTTGGTGTGCAACACTCCATGTCATTTTCACTTTACATTCAGAAAACATTGTTAGCGACATGCTACATACTGACCGGATATGAAGGATTTTCAGAATAAAAGCTTGGCATTGAGATTTTATGAGAACTTTATGACCGGATATGAGGGTTTTTTCACAATAAAATAGCTTTTAAACTGATGATATATTTTAGACTAAATTATGCTATTAAACATTGATTTTAATTTCTAACAATACACAGGAGATGGGCTGCTCTAAAAGCAAACATGTCAAATAAATGTGTTTGGGATCAGGAGGGATTCACCACTTAGTGAAACAATCCATTTGCTCTGTCCTGATAAATCCTTAAAAAAGTCAAAAATGATATTCTACTATATGTGTTGTCATAACCAATCACAGTAGTGAAAACATTATTATTACATTAAAGGTGGGGTAGGTAAGTTTGAGAAACCGGCTCGAGATCGCTAGAATTTGAAAATACACAACCGGAGAAAATCTGCCACTTCCTTACAGAATCACACATGATATCAGTGCATTAAAACAAACCCAAAGAGGAGACAACAGTATTTTCTCCAACAGGGGGTGTCGGCGTTCTGGCGATTTACTCGGAAGGCTTCAGTAGAACAGTAGGGACACGGCTCTATAATTGCCCAACATTTCGCAGTTCATCTACAGCCAGTTTAGTGCATGTCCAGTGTCCACTGCGAATGCGTTTGAGAAGACAGCAGCTCTCTAACGATGGAAGGTAACATACAGAAGCTCAATCTGAAGAGGGAAGTGGGGCTCATAGCAGGTGTATCATTTATTGCTGGAACCATGATAGGTTCTGGGATTTTCATCTCCCCCCAGTATGTGCTGGCTGATATCGGCAGCCCTGGGGCAAGCTTTGTAATCTGGACTTGCTGTGGGTTGATATCCATGTTGGGAGGGCTCTGCTACGCTGAACTGGGAACAGTCATACCAGAGTCTGGAGGACAGTTTATCTACATGCTGCGGACGACAGGGAAAATGGTGGCCTTTATGTTTTATTTCAGCTTCATCGTGGCCATGAGACCTACCATTGCAACATAAATTGCTCTGAGTTTTGCAGAATATGCTGTTGCCCCCTTCTACA